AAAGCCTAAGTGACCATTACGGTGGAATGGCCAGAACGACCGGTTGCTATGATGCGCACTAACCTCCAGGGGGCATATGCTCAGCGCAGGTGCTGCACCCTGGTGGTCAGTGCGCTCAGCCAAAAGCCAGGCTCATGGCTGGCGAGCGCAGCAGTGGTGGCGGGAGTCTCTCCCACTTATGCTAAGGAGCAGTGAGCAGGCAGGCGGTAAGGAGTGAGGGGTCCCAGACTGTGAGAAGGATGTCCGACTGCTGGATTTGAGAGTGGGCCTAAGCCGGCAAGTGGACATCCCCCAAGGGGTTCCATACTGTGAGAGGGCACAGGCTGGGCTGAGGGGACCCCCCCAGGGCATGAATTTTGTTCACTGGGCCTCTAGTATAAATAATAATAAAGAAAAATATATGTGAAAAAAACCTGCTATAAGAAAAACAATCAGTCTTCAAGGAGCATTATTTGATGCATAAGACAATCAGAAGTACCATGGATTCCCCAACTTTCTAGTCAATTCTTCTTAGTCCCATTGAAGAATTTAACAAGCAAAAGCATTTTCTCTGCAAAATACATTCTTCCTATTCTTTGTGTCTGAAGATTGAAACTCTACTTATTGCCTGCCTTTTGATAGAATTGAGCCCAGAAGGTTGCATTGTATTTAGCTAGGACTTCCTTTTGTCCACTTGAAACATTTTGTTGAGCATGTACTTTGTCAGGCACTGTGAGGTGCTATTTAGACAGCACTGAACAAGACAGAGAAGGTTCTGAGTCCCATGAAGTTTACTGCCTAACATATGCTTTGGTGGGCTACAGCTAAGTGAAAAAACATCTGCTATAAATCAACAAAGTTATTTATTCAAATTTCCAGCAGTAGGGTGGCACACCTCCAGTGATTTATTGTGCAGAAATCCCCCTTGCTGTGCATGTTCCTGCAAAGTCTCATTAGGACCTTTAAACTAAAAATATCTGATCCAGCTAAATTTTGGAAAAGGAAACGCTATTATTTGAGGAATTCATTTGCAGCAGCCGAGTGCCTCAGGAAGTTAGCAATGCCCTACGGAGCTCTGTGCCTCTGGTCCTCTCATTTGAAACCAGCAGAGGTTGGAACAGCGCTTAGTTATTAACATCTAATGGCTGTTTGGAGACTTCTTGAGTGTGCTGGACTCCTCCTCCAAATCTTAGGAAATGGAAAGATACTTATTTGAATTTAATTAACTCAGAGGAGATTCGGCCTAAAGGATCATGATGGGATATACTTATTACTGAATGTTCCTAGATCTTCCCTCAAATGTTATGCTGGGTTTGTTGGACTGCTGATTTCTTGGGATATGTAGAAAAGAAGCCTGCCCCCCTTCCCTGAAGAAAAGCCAAGGGCAGGAAGTGTCTGGCACTGTTGCTCTCCCTCTGTGCTCAGGTTATGTTCTCACCTCAGCCTGTACTCGTTCTACCACATTATTCCCCTTTCAGAAAGACCCCTTGTGGTCCAGGTAAAGGCTCTGGAAAACTCAGAGAAGAGAATGGCTACATGAGACTTTTAACTTTTGTTTTACTAAAAATATATACTTTTATTAATTTCAGGGAGGAAGGGGGAGGGAGAGATAGAAACATCAATGATGAGAGAGAATCATTGATCGGCTGCCTCCTATATGCGGATCGAGCCCGCAACCCAGGCATGTGCTCTGACTGGGAATCGAACCATTGCCTCCTGGTTCATAGGTTGACACTCAACTTCTGAGCCACACCAGCTGGGCTCAATCTTTGCTTTTACTTTGAGGCAACCTTTCTGTCTATCTTTCTCTCTTAAATGTGTGTACACAGATGTCATCTTGCTAATTTGAAAGATACTTCCATTTTGTTTAGGGACTTTAATAACCTTTATTCTTTACCCAAAGTCATATCTAGACTGAAAAGATGTTATATCGACACACACAGTGTGATTTGCTGTGAAAACCTGTAAACATAATTTCTTTACCTATTCATTCATTCTCAGTGACTCTCAAATATTTATTTCAGACATACTATGTGTCAGGCAGGCATTGTTAGGTACTGTAGGCATAACAGTCAGCAGGACAGATATAAATATTGCTCTTATAGGATTTAAAAACTTGATTTATTCACCTGTTTAACTAGTATGTATCATTGCTAGGCACTGTAGGATCATGGAAAATTCCAAAACAAGTAAGAAATAGTTCTAAAGAAGTATAAGACAATGGCAGTGAGACCATAGAGAGGAAAAAAAGTCTTCAAAGGTAGTTTGGAGATAGAATTAACATTGGCTGATTGACAAGGGTGGGGGTGGGATAGATTTTGATTTGAGAGATAATTAAAATCATCTCAACATTTCTACCAAAGGTGTTTGTGAGTATTGCTGGTGCCAATTAAACCAAGTTGGAAGATGAAGAACCAAGTGGAAGTAGGTTTAGGGGAGAGGAAACAGTAATAAAAGTGGGAAGCTAATGATAGCAGAGTTTGGTTTGAGGTCTACTGAGCTTGAAATGACACACCCATCATGTCCTGTGAGATGCGAAGGAGAGACTATGAGTTTCTTTAATCTCGAGAAAGAACAGAACTGCACCTATCTTCATTAGATGCATGTGTCAGGTACTATTTACTTTTTACTCTGAATCTCGTTCCCAAAGGATTGTTGGAAACTTACAAAGCCATGCAGAATAAAGTGGGATAAAATGGAAATTACAACATTTTTTGCCTATGAAATAAATCTCTCCCCCAAGTCAAAGCCACCAGTTTCTGCTGCTTATAAAGTCTTAGAGCTTCCTGGATCTCATCCTATCCAAAGTCTGGTTGTCTGATGTTTCCTTCATTCTTGTGAGCTAACCTGGACCTTTTCAAAATTTTCTGTTCTTAAATCAGCCAGACTGGGTTTTTCTGGATTTCAACAAAAGAACCCTAACTTGATTTTAAAAAGGGTCCTAGAAGTGAGGTATATTGAACCACAGAACTTCAACTGTGTCACCAGCTGAGCTGAAGTAACCTGGAAACCCTGTGACATAGCAACAAAATGGTTGGGTAACATCCATGTCTTATGCCTTGGCAAACAGTCAACATACTTTCTGGACTGGAGATTAGTAAAAAAAAATAATAACAGGATTTTGGAATGTGTTGATTAATTCTCCAAGGTTCTATAAAAAGAAACAACCTTTACTTTGGTTAAATCTTAATCGTGTAAAGCCACAAAGCAAAGCAAAAAGTAAAACTATTTGTGTTTTGTTTCCTTTTGTCTCTGGACTAGCCCTCTTCTGGCCTGTGGCTGGAAATCTGTGGTAGCTGAGATTGGAGTCTTGGAGGACGTAAAGCTAGGCTGGCTGTGCTGAGCAAGGGCCCCGTCTGCAGAGCAGGAATGGAGGATATGATGGGACTTGAGGGAAGCACCCATGCACCTCTTGGTAAAGGTCCTTATCATAAAAATCCAAGACTGAAATGAAGCCTGAGGACAAGCCTGAGTTAGCTTTGGCTGCCTCACTTGATGCTTATGCCTCACCATTCTGGTAGAGGCCCTACACTAGCTAAGAGACCAATACTGGCTAAGGTGGGGCAGCCCCAGATGGAGAACCCTAGCCAATGCCATCCCAGCTGTGACAACGGAGGTGAATAAATAGGGAAGCACCTCACAGAGAGAAGAACTGGGAAAGACAAGTGAGCTAACCAAGAAGCTTATTCTACTGGAAGAGCTCCAGTTTGTATTGGTTATGGGCCCATTAACATTCTGCCGTTTCCTTTGGCTCTTTTTCAAAAAAGGAGGAGGAATTTGTTGTGTTTTGTTCTGTAAATATATTTTTATTGAATTGATTGGGGTGGCTTTGGTTAATAAATTTATCTAGGTTTCAGGGGTACAATTCTTTAATACATCGTATTTTGTGTGTTCACCACCTCAAGTCAAGTCTCCTTCCATCACCATTTATCTCCCTTTTACCCTCTTCTACCTCATCTCCTCCTCTCCCTTGGCAATCCCCATACTGTTGTCTGTGTCCATGAGTCTTTCTTTCTTTTTTTTCTTTGCTTAATCCTTCCACCCTTCTCACCCAGCCCCCAATCCTCTACCCGCTGACAACTATTGATCTGTTCTCTGTATCCATGAGCCTGTATCCACTTTGTGTTGTAAATATTTTATCCACACACCTATGTATAATATGGATTGAGGATGGTTACATATATTTAAATATACCATTTAACCATAGGTTGCTTCGCCAGTAAAAGCTAATCTGGATTTGACCTAGAGAAATTCCTATCACCCAAAGATTCTGACCTTGGATCTAGATGCAGTAATTGGACGAGCTTCTATGATTCCCTCCCCGGAGAAGGAAGTGAGTAGCTTTCTAATGTATAATTATTATGCTTATTCAGGTTGGTGTGGGCATTTTTGAAATTGTATGTTTGAGAAGAAGAACCAATGTGTATGTTGGAGAGAGATGAGTGGACTCTTGTATCATCGGTTGTTTTTGCCTATGCTATCAGTCAGTTTTGGGTAAGAATTACTTTAGTAACAAACCCAGTACTCAGTGGCTTACAACAAAAGCTTATTTCTTGCTCACATTACATGTTCCCATGTGTTAGCTCCAACTCTTCTCTCTGTCACCTTCACCCCAGGACCCAGACTGGTAGAGCTGCTCTTACCTGGGACATTGCAGTGGGATGAGAGTCTTCCTGGGTTCTTAAAGCTCCCACTTAGAAATGACACGTATCGCTTCTGCTCATTTGTCATTCGCCAATGGAAGTCACAAGCCAATGCTGACAACAACAGTGTGGGGATGGATAATCTTTCAGAGAGAAAAGGGCATCATGAAAGAACTGAACTCTCTTTCTTTTTCCTTTTTTTCCCCTTCCTTTTTCTGATTATAGCCATCTAGTTTTCTCTTGAGGAATAATCCCTTGCCAACTCAGCTAATGTGGGTTTGTCCAGTCCAGAGAGGCCATGAGAGCTACATTTAGCTAACCAGAGCTTTCCATTCCAATAGCCTAGGCAAGTCCAATAAAATTCGACTTCTGGATGAAGAAATTCTTTTAATGTTGGAGTTGCTAAGGAGCCATCAACATGGAGAGGGAACCTGCCTAAGGATGAAATTATCAAAGCAAACCACACTGAGAGACTGAGCAGGTAAAGTGAGTCTGGGCGTCACTATTTCAGTTCCTGTACCCACCCACTGCCAGAAGCAAAGGTCTAAACCTGGAGGACCTAAATATGGAAGTCTGTATTTTTTTCTTTAAGCCAATTTAGGTGTCTGTTACTTGTAGTTTAAAGATTTCTTACTTATGAAGGGGGGAAGTTAGTGTCTGAAATACATGGTAAAAGTATGGTTCTATATATTTTGCTATAGGTGGGTACAGTTTTGGTTGTGAGCTCCCTAGCTATCAACTCAAAGAGAAAAGGAAATTCCCATATGTGTTAAAAATAATCAAACATTGGTCATTTCATGTGGTCCAAGTCAATGTAATTCATAGTACTTCATAATGGCAATCATAGCTTTTTTTCTTTTTGTAATTTGTATTGAATTTATTGGGGTGATATCAGTTAATAAGATTACATAGGTTTTAATCACAGCTTTCTCTGAGACTAAATTATTACATGGAGCATTGACAGAGCTTACCAAACAAGGCATGGTCCCCAGACCAGCAACATTAACATCTCTGGGAATTTGCTATAAATGCAAAATCTTGTGTCCCACCCACACATGCTAAATCAGAGCATGCACGTTAATGAAACAGTCAAAGCAGAAGACAAAGCCAATTGCATATTATGTTCACATTTGGTTATCACCGGGATGTATTATATTTTTATTTCAGTGTAGAGAGAATGATGTCACGAAGGGGAACACTAATCAGAGAGGGGCAGTTAACTCTATTAAGGCTGAGTTCTCAATGCACAGTGCTCATTGCTGTGAGCATGAGTGTGTCAGATTATATATTGCAAATGTTCTGCCTTCTCATTCATGCGAGGGTGGGTTATGCTGCTAACTCATGGAGAGCGGTATGTGAGCAGAGCTAACCTGGCTTCATGTGGAGCTCCCAGGCACAACGCATCAAACAGATGCATAAAGCATCTGATGAAAACCGTTTAAAAATAATTAAAAAATGTAAAATCTTCCTGATTCAGCTCCTGGGATAAATTTGCAGTTGGGAAAACCTTTAAATACAGATTTAAGTTTCTAATTAGTGCAGGTAATGTTTGGATGTATTTTTTCCAGCATAAGTAAACATTCTGAGCTCTTTCATGTGAAACCAACAAAATGATATACATTTTTTGTTGTTGTTGCTTCTTTTGACTTTTAGGAAATTAACATCCATATCTCTGCCGTTTGAAGAGAAGATGGCACCAAGGTACCTGCTTTTCTTATTTAGAATTCATTTCTCTATTTGATTGGGACTAAATTATGGAATGAAAAATTGATAGTGCAGATCTAGTTTCCTCACCATTAATATGAATGAGTATTTTGTACCAATACAACAACTCAAAATCAGAAGGCCCAAATGCCAAGGGCATGACCAGTGTATATCTAATCAATTTCTTTAATTTTCTATCCCCATCTGCGATCATGGAAGCTAAATCAAGTGATGTGCTGGTGTTGGCTCCAAAGCATGCCAGGAGCAATGTCGAGGAGCATGGTGGCCAAAGGTGGACAATATTTGGGGTGATATTGACATAATATTCCTAAAACTCACAACAAATCACATTGTCTTTACTTATGTAATGAAGTAAAATGTTTCTGCATGATTCATTTTAACCAACATTTCTTCCAAACAACTGTAAATTCCATTACTAAGGGGTTGATCTGAAAAATATTTGTGTTATTCTGAACAAATTAATATAGCTATATTGATAAGCTCATTTAAAGAAACAAGATACTTGAGGCAATAAGAGAAGAGAAGGACTATACAAAACAAGAGAGGTATATTAGAAATACTTTATAATTTATTGAAATATAAATTCACTAAGCTTATGTTTTAGAAATCAAATGTACATGGATTTTAATAGCATTTATTCTCTGTTCTTTTCTCCCTATAAGTCTGGTTACTTCTTTTTTCTTCTAGAAATACCAACACAGTAGTCTAAAATAAATAAGAAACAACTCTTCTGACCTAGCTGGGTAGCTCAGCTGGTTGGAGCATCGTCCCAGGATGCAAGGTTGCAGGTTCGATCCCTGGTTAGGACACATACAGGAGGCAATTTATGAATACATAAATGAGTGGAAAAACAAATCAATGTGTTTCTCTCTCTCTAATCCAGCAGTTCTCAACCTGTGGGTCACGACCCCTTTGGGGGTCGAATGACCCTTTCACAGGGGTCGCCTAAGACCATCTGAAAACACATATATAATTACATATTGTTTTTGTGATTAATCACTATGCTTTAATTATATTCAATTTGTAACAATGAAAATACATCCTGCATATCAGATATTTACATTACGATTCATAACTAGCAAAATTACAGTTATGAAGTAGCAACGAAAATAATTTTATGGTTGGGGGTCACCACAACATGAGGAACTGTATTAAAGGGTTGTGGCATTAGGAAGGTTGAGAACCACTGCTCTAATCAATAACAAATAAACAACTATTCTGATGCAAACAACATATTAAAAGCAACAAACATGAGTCATTATGTATTCAGAAAAATACCCATGCTCATCCCTATTAAAAATGCCATCTTTTTTTAGAACAAAGGATGCTATATTCATCTTCCATGTGTATTTATTGAGTGCTTACTATGTGCCATACTTCTGCTACATGTATTTCTTCCATTGCTTCAGATAAATTTTATGTCATCCTTTAGGTATTACTTTTCCATTGAGAGAGAAAGGTCTTGGGGAAAATTTTCACTGGGCAGGCAACCATGATGGCATTATGTAATTTTCTAGATGAGACAAGTAAAGAAAGGCTCTAACAGACTAGGAAAGTGAAACACAAAGAAATTCCAAGTGGAAAAGTAGAGATTTCAATGGAGGACTCTGGTATTGAGACCTTTTATCTCCATGAAGAATCTCTTTGTATGTTGAGCACAAAGGATTGTGTGTATTCACCTTTACTGGTTTAATGCTAGTATAACACCTGGTGAGTGTTCAGTAACTCCTGTGAATTTCATCTTTTAAACGTATTTCCTTACTATTCCCTCTGCTTCTTTCAAACCCCACTTCTTACACCTAGGTCATTCCCTCATGTGGGCAATTGTAATAATCTCTGAAGTAGTTTTCCAGTCTCTAACTTGTTATCTTCAATCAATCCCATGTATGATTCATCCCCTGTCTACTTCTTCAATACCTCCTCAGGTTACCATACACGCTTTATAATGAACCCATAACCTACTTAGTGTTCTCTGTACGATCAATGCAAATTCTAACAATGCGCCTCCATGACAATCCCACTTATTCTCTCTGCTGCAATAACCTTGTCTACCTGAAAGAAAAAATCTGACATCCTTCAGGACTCATTTCAAAGGTTTTCTCAGGAATAATTATGAATCCATCCAGAATCGTTGGCTCTCTTTATTTTTGCTAACATTGGATGTTGAATGAAAATGGTTACAGAGGATGCTACACTGTGTTGAAATAATTTGGCCTTGTGTCTGTTTCCTCTACTAAACTAAACGTTCCTGGGGGCAAGAGCATCTTATTTAGAATTTGTACCCTTAGAGCACATGCATTTGGGCTCAATAAATGTTATTAAATGAATTCTTGTTGAACAAATGTATGGCTAATTCCATGCTTGAAAAATAGACATTAACAAGTGCCAAAAGGATAGCATTTTCCTTATTAGAAGTTATAATTTGTGACAAAGACGGTGATCTATAGTCAGAGCATGGATTCACAAAACTCTGAGTCTCTTGGCATGCTGGGGGTTGCAGTGTGACACCAAGTATCTTGGGAAATTGTGAGCAGGATTACATCAGCCACTTACACTAACTAGAAATCCACACAGATTACAACCACATTGCCTAAATCAACATCAAAACCTTGAGCAAGAATATTGCTCAGCAGAATGGTATGGGAATGGTTAAGAAAATAGAGTTCAAATGAAAAAAAATCTAAAAATAATGGCCTAAGAAGGGACAGCACTTCTCTCTAAGATATGACTGTTTCAGAAGGAAATTTCTTACTATTGGCAAATTGAATAATCTTAGAATCAACAAATCAAAGTTGGGAAGAACATTAGGACCCCTTGCTTCCAACTTCCCATTTCTGGAAAGATGTTGATCTTTCAACTTGAACACTCCCAGTGATGGGAATCCCATTGTTTTGAAGTAGCCATTTAATTTTGAGTTATTCATTTTGAGCTGAAATCTGTCTTTCAGTGATTTTATTCACTGACTCTGGTTCTTTTTTCTGAAGCTACACTAATTTTATACATACACACATACATACGTACATACACTTTCCATGTATTTGAACATAGGTATTATTTTCCCCAAAGTTTCCTTTTCCTAAGATTAGAAACACTCCAGTTTATGTGATAATTTATTATGTGATGTAGGTTTAAAGCCTTTTAGCTCTCTGTGATCATATTCCAATGGATACTCTCTAATACAGTACCCAAATGTGAATACACTACAGAAGTAGCCCATGTACTGTGGCATATAAGGAGACATTCTTCACTTATGTGTATAATATACATCTTTATTGTAATCAAATGTTGCATTAGATTCAGTGACTAAACAGATCATTGTTTAAGGGGCTGGAATAGAAAGGTAAGTAAACAGATTCTTTGCTTCAAGAAGAACCTAACACAAGCTAAAAAAATCCTCTTAATAAATTGTAATATTACATAAGTACTATTTTTTGAGTATAATCATCAAATAACTCATGTACTAGGTTTTCTGACTGTCAAAGATCTGTGATTGTTTAGGTTGACTTATTCTATAATAATAAAAGTGTAATATGCTAATTAGACCAGATGTCCTTCCGGACGACCTTCTGGACGAAGCCCGGGCTGTGAGGGAAGCCTGGGTCCCGGGTGCCAGAGAGAAGCCAGTGCCAGCAGCCAGGGGAAGAAAGGCCTACTCTTGCATGAATTTTGTACATCGAGCCTCTAGTATATATATAAATCACTTTAATTCCAAACTTGTGCTGTTGATTTTTCAAAACCTTAATGTTGGATTTTATGCATATCTTTCCTAATTTTATCTAGTTGATTTTGTTGTAATGCCAGCTTATCAAGGTGTTTTAAATCTTTATTCTGTCACCAAGTATGTTAGTTTTTCCTTCTAAGCTTTGTGTCACCTCTAAGTCTGAGAGTAGCAGAGAAATTGGCTGCTCTTTACATGAACAAAATGGTTTGTGTTCTGTTTTCCCAGCAGAAATATGCGTTTGGGAATTTGGTTAATGGGAAGTGGTAAGGCATATATTTAGAAAAGGCATTTATTCCACCCTAGACAAATATAGACCCTTGGAATTTTATCCACTGTGACTCATAGAAAGTGCAGAGGTTTCTCATCATCTCACTGCCACGTGGTGTTCGCTGTCGGCATGTGGTGAAGTCAGGGCCTGAGAAACAGACAAAAGGATGGCAATGACTGATTTTTTTTGAACAGCAATTTCTTACCACCAAAGCCATATTGTAAGTTGAAATGTCACCTTAATTCCAGCCATCAGATGTCGCTTACAATGTGCACACAGTAATCAAACTTTCATATCTGCTTGCATGACACTTGCTGGAGAGGTCTCCCATGACTACTCTGCGCTTCCTCTGTCCCTGGATTTGCTTCATTGTTTCCCAGGGCTCTCATCACTGTTTGTCATACCACACACAACTCCTTTATTGCAAGCTACCTCCCCCTCCCCCCCCCATGCACTGGATTATAAACTATGAAAACCAGGGCTTTGGTTTATTTACTGCAGTGTCCTCGCTGCTTTGAATAGTACCATTCACGAGCCCATGTTCTATTGGTAAGCGCTCAATAAATATTTGTGGAAGAAATGAATGAATCTGAAGAAATGGTGATACATTTTTCATGGATTTAGCTGGGAAATATTTTTTTTAAATAATAACTGATAAAAAGATATAGTCATTCCTGTGTTCACTGTAGTGCGATTTACAATAGCCATAATATGAAATCAATGTAGGTGTTCATCAACAGATGAATGGATGAAGAAGGGGTGTACACACACACACACACACACACACACACACAAATACTACTCAACCATGAAAAAGAATGAACTTTTGCCATTTGGGACAACATGGATAGACCTAGAGGATATTATGCTAAGTGAAATAAGCCAGAGAAAGACAAATACTGTATCATTTCACTTAATATGTAGAATCTAAAAAACTAAACAAATGAATAAGTATAGTGACTCATAGAAACAGACAAGCTGATAGTTGCTAGAGGGTTGGGCAGTGGGGGGTAAGGGCAAAAGGTGAAGGGGATTAAGAGGTACAAACTTACAGTTATAACATAAATAAGTCACATGGGCTGTAAAATATAGCATATAGCAATAATATCACAATAATTTTGTATGATGAAGATGGATACTGGACTTTTTGTGGTGATCACTTTGTAAGGTATTTAAGTGTCAAATCACTATGTTGTACACCAAAAACTAATATAATATTGTACATAACGATATTTTAGTTAAAAAAGCTTTACATTCCAGAATGATTTTTTAAATGACCAACATAAACAACTGAGAGAGTTATATTTACTTCATCCTTGCTGCAAAGATAAGATTAATTATACAAAGAATTTTTTAAGTAAAAAAACTACATATGTCTTTTTTTGTGTGTGTACGCTGGTGTTATTTAGTGATGTGCAAAACAGAGTTTATAAGAG